AAACTATGTTCAAACAGAGCTGCCAGGAAAAAAACTAAGGAAAGGAAAAAAACTATGTTCAAAAACTATGTTCTAGGAGAAGGAAAAAAAACTATGTTCAACCAGAGCTGCCAGGAAAAAAAAAACTATGTTCTAGGAGAAGGAAAAAAAACTATGTTCAACCAGAGCTGCCAGGAAAAAAACTAAGGAAAAAAACTATGTTCTAGGAGAAGGAAAAAAAACTATGTTCAAACAGAGCTGCCAGGAAAACAACTATGTTCAAACAGAGCTGCCAGGAAAAAAACTATGAAAGGAAAACAACTATGTTCAATGACATGGCAAACATGTTCAAAAACTATGTTCAATGACATGGCAGAATGCCGGTTAAAAATAGGCGACGTAAGAGAGAAAATATATCCTTCTGTGCCTAAGTTTACCTGGCAGCTCTGTTTGAGTCAGGTGACGATGATATATAGCTCTCCCCCGATGAGGGCGAGACAAAAAAAAAAAAAAAAAAAAAAAAGGCCCAAAACGTGAGCTTCAAGAATCTAATCAAAGGACAGAGACAGGCGGCTTTTTCTTTTTCGTTTTCGTTTTTTTTTTTTTTTTTTTTTTTTTTTGTGTGTGTGTGTGTGTGTTTGTGTGTGTCTGTGTTGGGGTGCGTGTGTGCTGTAAATTTTCACACACAGATCCACAAAGAAGAGCATGACTGCGGTCACTGCGCCTGTCAAAGAACCCTCCCTTCATTCTCTCCTCTTTCCATTCCGGGCCTCGCTTCACTACTCGGCAAAAAATATGCAACATGAGAATGAATCTTCCGCTAGAACATGGAAAGATGCACCTGTCATACGTTTTCTCTCTTGTGCATGTGGTCAGTAGTGAAGCGCAGCTCATACACACATAATCCACAGCCCATCCATAAAAGAGAGAAAAGTATAAACTTATAATTTATAAAGGCAATATGATCCAAGATGGACAGGTTGGCCACCTTGCCATCGTTACACTCCACCGACACACACCCGACAGTCGCCACAAATCAAACAAAAACCAAACACCACACGAGGTCTATGCAACACTCCGACTCGGAGTGCCATGAACCTCCCTCCCTCCGCTCCCTCCCCACCCCCCGGCTGCACAATCCAAAAAATCAAATACAACTCGTCACATCCTGGAGCTGGAGATAACATACCCTTCTCTCCTCCTCTATGGAAATTTGCTAGCGAGGCGACTGCGCAAAAAAAAAAAAGAACAAAAAAAAAGAGCTCAAAACGGTGAAGGCATAAATTATAAGGTCAAGTTACACAGCTTTTTTTTTTTTTTTTTTTTTAGCTGGGACCTTCCCTGGCCCTTGACATCCTTAAAAAAAAAATTTTAAAAAAAACAAAAAATCAAAAAAAAAAATAGTGCCTCAGAAAAGAAACCAAAAGGAGAACAAAAAAAAAAAAAAAAAAAAAAGAGAAAAAAAAAAAAAAAAAAAAAAAAAAAAAAAAAAAAAAAAAGAACTAAACATCACAACATCTACAACAAGACACGAGGAGCGCTACTGCTTAAACCACCAGTACTTCCTAGAGTCATGCCCGTTAACGCGCCACGATTTCAGGAAACGTACGGGCTACTACAGGAGCGCCCAAATTCATCCGACTAGAAATGTTTCTACTCGTTTTTTTTTTTCTTTTTTTCCCGCGGCCGATAGCTCGGCCAAGTACTGGTGGTTTAAACAGCAAGTACAAGGTCCCAGCCTTGCAGAAAGTTTTTGTCGCCACAACCAAAACTCAGAGAGGCCGCCAGCGTCATGCGGCGCAGATGGGGAAAAAAATAAAAATCAGTGGCCTCCGAAATAAAAGACAACACAACGAATGGCATAATGAAACGAAATAAATTAATGGCGACCCTCTTTCTACTAAGCTGCTGCCTACACATGTCGCTTTCACACCTGGCAATCCAATTATCCAGATCCAAACTGCCTGCCGCATGAAAACAACGCTAAAGCCCTCTGCAAATAGTTACCTCCTGAAAAGCAAAATAAAAATAAAAATAAAAATAAAAATCGGAGTAAAATTCAGTAAATCTTAATGGGACTCGCTCTCTTTTCTTCGACACATCACACAAATGAAAAGCTTTGTCCATAGCAGGGGAGACGCACTCGCATTTTATTTTCCACAGAATTCCAGAGGACAACTTCATCTCATTCGAAGACCCGAACGAATTTCACCAACAGCAACACGACATTAACCAAAAAAAAAAAAAAAAAAAAAAAAAAAAGACATCGGAAGCAAGATAGATAACTCATGGCACACAATCCAGCCTTCTGTCTACCATATAACGATCAACAATCATAATTCATGAACTGTCCATTTCCTATGATCCCCTCACCCCCAAATTAGCAGGTAAATGTCTTACACAGGAATGGAGGGGTTCTCTCTCTCTCTCTCTCTCTCTCTCTCTCTCTCTATCTATCTATCTATCTATCTCTCTCT